ACTTAAAGTCGATTTTTCAACCTGCAACCTGCAACCTACAAAACATGCTTGCCCACGACGAAGAGCTTACACTCGAAACATCGGCTCCAGAAATTCGCTGCGGCGATTAATTTACCTGATCACCCTCCTGCCAAACTCGAATGTACATAACTTCTTAGGATAACGATTTCTAGGCCGTTGAAATGATGGGGAACAAACACTGGAAATAAATTCAAAATCTTTTTATTTCATACTTATAGCTACGAATGCAAAAAACTCAGGACTTGCACCTGTTTCACTTGGTTCCAGTCTTTTTCAATGACTGTAAGTTTTCAGCCTGCGTCGCAGACGCTACCTACCGCTGGTTATTTGCATGTAAATTTCCCGTCTGCGGCACAGGCTACAATTAATTGCAAGTCTTTGTGAAACAGGTTCTTGCTGCCGGTAATCGACTAAGTGGTTTATCGTTATCAGTGACCACCAGTGTCGAATTTCTGGGCATATTAAAATAAGTGATGCTCCCGAGAATACCCAAAGCGGGATGGAGAGGTGAATTTTCAGTTAATAGTTACCAGCCCTTTTCGGTTCAATCCACGCGGGAAGACAAGCATCCGCATATAACATAAATATTTTACCGGCAGAACCGATGAATCGATTTATATTGAGGTTTTTAAATACTCGAGGGTTTTTGCGGTGCACATAATATATAAAATTAAGTGGATGTGGAGTTTGTTATTCCTCCAAAACAAAAGACGATCGAGGTGATATTGTATAGTCCTGGAATCAAGCTGAGGATTTCCCGGAACCTCAACAAGTAAATGATCCGGTTTCATTGATTTGCAGTTTCACTTTAAAATAAATCAAACTGCACATAGCCGGTTAGCCTAGTATGTGTAAACGGAAGGACTGGTCTCGACAGGACAAGCTAAGACGTGAGACGAGCAAGATTCTCTTTCCACCACTAAGTCTACTTAAGACATTTCATGCATTTATGGGAGTTTAAGCAAACACCAAAGAAGTCAAAGAAGGTGTCGACTCAGTGTTAAAAAGACTAATTATTTCTGGCAAGAAAATTATCTGCCGTAGTTTTCGTTTATCTGTGTGTGTTTGCAGGGCTTTTGTTAAAATTATATGGCGGTTTTAGATTGTAACTTCACGATGATTAGTTTGATACTTCAAGTGTTTTAAATTGTAAAGTTACGTTGTTCAATTCCAATTTGTGAACGAGAAAGTTTGTTGTGCTTGTAATTAATACTATATAAATGGCAAAATCCTTAAAACAACTTGATTTGTGAATAATCAAACGACAGAAAGTACCTGGCGTTCGAGATATAAATGGTAAGCGAATATGCTGACGCGAAAATATTACCTTTTTCTCGTTCAAGATCAGAAACTGCTTTGCCCAATAGACAATGATCTACATGAGTAAGGCATGACTGCCTGAGCTTTTTAGCGGAGCTCCGGCGGCCCGAAGGGCCGCCAAGCAGAGCCCCACACTCATATCGGAAAGAAAAGGAAAGCGATGAGTTGATTTTCTCATGGTTATCATGGCTAGCGGTATTGCTCGTGGGCGCGTACGTACGACGACGACGGCGGAGTTGCCCAACATAGCGGCTATACTTTAAATAATAGGTGACAGAGACATGTAGCCTTGGTTTACCGTGTACTTCCTTGATATTGGACATCCATGTTATGATCACTTGACACCTGTCAAAACAAGGTATCCGCTGACCAATATCACGTGACCATATCGCGGCTCCTCGAGGTCACGTGTTTTTTTTGAAGTTCACTGCTGACCAAGTGCTGGTTATCGATTGGATCGCGGGCTCATATTAAGTTAACTTGTTGGAAACAGGGCAGGATTGTTCGTAAGCCGGTTAACGCTAACCCAGGTTTAAAAGTTAACCGAATTATAACTTTTTCTTCTATACGAATGTTTTTTGCTGTTTTGTTTTGTGTATATGGTGATTATTAAAACTCAAAACAGATCAAATCAAAACTCTACCTTTTTCTGGGTTATCTTAATCGGGCTTTGAACAACTCGGCCCAGGAGCTACGCTATTAGGCTCTTGCCGCGGCCTACGTGTAGCCGTACCCAGCCCCCGAGGGAAAACGGGAGGGAGGGAACGTCTACGAAGAGCTGACACGAATCGTGTTATGTGACGTCACGCTTTTGCATGGAAATATATAATGGTTCCTTATTGGATAAGGACCGCGAGCAATACTTTCGAGAATACTGATTGGCTAAAATAGGTTTGTGCCAAGCCCCAAAATGTCTCACATTTTCACATCTGTACGAGTTTAGAGTTGCGCTAGTGGCAACTACAGACGTTCTGAGCATTTTAGAAATACCGGCAACTGATGAGATCCGCATGGAGGATCGANTAGCGGCTATACTTTAAATAATAGGTGACAGAGACATGTAGCCTTGGTTTACCGTGTACTTCCTTGATATTGGACATCCATGTTATGATCACTTGACACCTGTCAAAACAAGGTATCCACTGACCAATATCACGTGACCATATCGCGGCTTCTCGAGGTCACGTGTTTTTTGAAGTTGACTGCTGCCCAAGTGCTGGTTATCGATTGGATCGCGGGCTCATATTAGGTTAACTTGTTGGAAACAGGGCAGGATTGTTCGCAAGCCGGTTAACGCTAACCCAGGTTTAAAAGTTCACCGAATTATAACTTTTTCTTCTTTACGAATGTTCTTTGCTGTTTTGTTTTGTGTATATGGTGATTATTAAAACTCAAAACAGATCAAATCAAAATTCTACCTTTTTCTGGGTTATCTTAATCGGACTTTGAACAACCCGGCTCAGGAGCTACGCTTTTAGGCTGGCCTAAATCTATAGTACTTTATTATCATGACTTTTTTCTTGGCTTGGTTTTGGTTCCGCGATGTTCTACAATTCCGTGATTTGTCATTGGCCTTGAACGTCTTGCTAGAGCCATCAAACGTGACAATCTTATTCAAGGAATCACAACCAGGGAAAAAGAAATAAAAAATATCAAGATACCCCCTTCAATTTAAATTACCCACAAGATCCTATTTGTGCACTAGGCGTTTTTTTCTCATACAACACGCCCGAAGCGGACAAATTAAACTTCGGTG